CATGCTCGACTGAGCCTATATAAACATTGATCTACCGGTAGTTTTTCTTCACTTATCACTTTTACCAGTAAGTAGTCTATTCATATTAACACTACACGACCAATCATGGTTTCCAATGCTGTCTTCAACCAAGTCGATCTTAACAAGGATGGACGAGTTGATATTGGTGAATTCCGTAACTTTGTTGGTAAGTTGATTGTTTTGTCAAACATTGTGCGTGTATCTATTAAAGATAATTATTGCTTTTTGCAGGCCAAGGCCACGGTGCTGGTGCTGGTGCTAGCTACGGTGGTAGTTCATCATGGGAATCAGCATCATTAGGTGGTGGTGCTGGTTGGGGTGCTGGTGCTGGCTGGGGTGCTGGTGCTTCAGGCTATGAATCGGGAGCATATGAATCATCTGCATCAGCCGCTGATCTTGGTGCTGGTTATAGTGCATCATACGCAGTTGGTGGTGGTCTTGCCGGTGGTGCCGCTAGCTACGAATCAATCGCAGGCAGTGCTGGATATGCTGGTGACGCTGCTATCGTTGCTGGTGGAGCAGCCTTTGATTCATCAGCCGTTGCAGCCTCTCAAGTCCACTATGCTACTGATGCTCAAGGTCTCTTTCAAGATCCAAACCCACAAATCATTCGTCGTCCAGCTCCTACTGGTGTACAAACATACACACAACACGTTCAAGTTCGTTTTCTTCAACCACCACCAGTTCCACCCCCAGGCGTAAGTCATTTTCATTGTTTCTCATAATCTCCATAATAATATCTACTTTTGTTTTTTCTTTCTAGCCACTCATCATCAGAGAAGTCCGCCCACCTCAACCACCTGTACCACCCCCACTTCGTCTTCGTCAAGTAGCTCCACCTCTTCCTCCTCCACCACCACTTGTTCTCCGTGAACGACCACCAGTACCCCCACCAGTGATTGCATCACAAACTGTCATTCGTCGTTTGGCTGGTTTACCAGTTCCACCACGATCGGTCATCATCGAACGTCTTCCACCTCCTCCACCAAAACCACGTTAGTAGTTTCTTTTCTTTTTTTTCTTCTGTTTTTATCATATTAATCACTGATACTAGGTGACATCATTATCGAACGTTGGATCCAATATGGACCTCAAGCTAAACGACGCACCATTCTTCAACGTGCTCCTGCTCCTGCACCATACCCAGCTCCACGCAATATTATCATCCAATACGAACAAGCTCCAGCTCGCATTGTTCGTCAATTCCATCGCCTCGGTGTTGTTGCAGCTAGCCCAGCTGCCTATGTTCAAACATATGGTGCTCAACTTCTTGATGCTGCTTCACTTCTTACACAAGCTCGTGCTGTTGGTGTTGTTGAAGATATCGTATGTTAATCGTGTAGTATTCTTTTCTCCTAAGTAATAATCTTTTTTCTATTTGTAGTCAGCTCCTGGTTTTGTTGGTTACAGTAGTGCTGCATATGGTCAAGAATCATGGGGTGCTTCATCAGGTTTAGCTGGTGGTGCTGGTCTAGTTGTTGGTGGCGCTGAAGCTGTTGATGCTGGTGTTGCTCTTGGTGGTGGACTCAGTTCATCATCATGGGAATCATCAGGTGGTGCTGGCGGTTGGGAAGGAGGGCTCATTGCTGGTGGTGGTTATGGTGGATCATGGGGATCATCAAGCCTTGTCGGTGGTGGTATTAGCGGAGGTGATGCTGCTTTCCTTAATGCTGATACCAATCTTAATGGCTCCCTTGATCAAGGAGAATTCCGCCAATTCCTTGGTAAGTATTTGTTCGAATGAATATTATCATTCTATAGATATCATAATTAAATTGTATTTATCTATTTGTAGCTCAAAATCTTTAAGAAACTAGCGGTGCATCATCATACGAAGCATATATTTCATCTATTTCCTATCAAACAATCAAGATAGCCAATCAAATTTTCAAAACTTAGAACGTATAGTAGTTGTAGCATAGAAGAAATATTATTGTATTTGATTGAATCTAGTTTATTATTTTTTTCGCTTCATTTTTTCTGATGGCTAATTCTTGTGCCAATCGTCGTGGATTATTTTTTTGTTGTGTTTTGTTTTGATGTGATAATGCATTTTTTTGTTATAACTTCAACTTATATAATACAAACGCCGACGAACAAAAAGAATTGTGTTTAATTGCTCCGTGCAACAAGTGCTAAAGAATTGAAAGATAAAAGCTTTTCGGTGCAGTTCTTTTAGGTTACAATGTAGAACTCATGTATTTCATATAAACTGAAAGATATTTGACTCCAAATATGTTTTCAATGCAATAATATATAACTATTCTTGGCGGTAAACTATAATCCACCTCAATGTTTTATAAATATATTGAGAGAAAAAGTACCTCACTATCTGAGAGTTGCATCATTAGAAGAAGAATGTTCGGGAAATAGAAATATGCTGAATTAGCTCGACTTTCTATTTGTTAAACTAATGATTTTTTTATGTGGATTTTTATCATGGTGAAGATATTTCTCTGCCCATTTACACAAGATAATACCTTCTAGTTCTTTTCATTCAAGAGTTATAAGCGTTTCACTAGAGACCTTGAAAAACGGTCAACTCATTCATGATCATCATAAACGGAATTGAATTTATATGCATTCGTCTATGCTGGTTGTAATGGTGGAGTTTTAGTTTTAGTTCTGAATCGAATTGATCTTGAAGAGAAAAGTTCTTGAAAATACTCAATTTAACTTCAAAAGTTTTCTATCGACTGAACAACGAAAATCATGATCTGACTACTTAGAAGGATATGGTGACTAAAAATAAATACTATTATTGGACTCCCTGTAGACAAATACACTAAATTCAATACAATTTAGACTGATTAGTGATCAGTTGACCGATTTCAAGGCTTTCAGTAGAACGTTTATTACTCCTGAATGGAATAAGCTAGAAGGTGTGTTCTTGTGAGGTTAACACATAGAATATCCTCGTCATCGATGTCCTAATTCAGAATTTATATTTAACTAATAAATTCGTTTCAGAAACTTTTCGTTAAAATCAATAACAAAAACAGATTAGCTTGACCAAAATATAGTCAAGGTGATTTGGGTAGTTTCAGTTCCCGAACATTTCTCTTTTAAGTGGTGAAAAATCGTAGATTTCTAGCTACTTTGATTCTCGAGATATTCAAAACATGTGGAGGTGCATAATAATTTGACGCCAATAGTAATTGAGTGAAAAAAAATGAAAGGTAGAGCTTGTTTGAGCATCGTGTGTGTCTGGAAAGAGAAGAAGAATAAAAAGAAACATCAAATTTAGGTTCTACAGTATTATCTTAATGCAGTGAGTACCCATGTGATCTTCGTAATGTGCTCATTAAGCAGAAGGACGTCCAATTTTTAGATGTTTTATTTTGTTATAGTGGCTAAGGATTGTCGCGTTTTTAAAATATTTATGCAACTTTTTCTGAACTATGAGTTGATACTGAGTATATTGTCCCTTTTCGTTCGATATAGAATATATGCAAATGACATTCATTTTCGAGAAGATGAGGCAGAAAGTGACTTTTCATAGTAAATGAAAATGATCACTCATAGCATAAACACACATGAGACTTCTTGTCTTCGTTCTAAAACTTTAAACTTATCTCTCATACTGTTCTTTTCTGTCGTTTTTTACTATTGTTTTGATACAATCGTTCATATCAAACTAGTCTATTGAATGCACAATTGCCAAGCACAGCTCTATCCAAACAAAAAAATGTGTAAAAAATCTCGAACAGAAAATCTCGAAAATAAAAAATACTGGCTAAAAATTTAGAAAGCGAAAACTCCAGAAAATCATAAATTTCGAAAAAAACCGTAAAGAAAAGGTTTTTTTGGGTGGCAATGTTTTGAAGACTTTTTGTTTCAAAAAATTCTCCACTGTAGAACGAACGGGAGGAAAGATAGAGAGTTGAACATAGAGAGGTGTCTATATTTGAGACATTCATTGCCAGAAAAAACAGTTTTGCTGGATATTATAAACAGTTCGTGCTATGAAGTACAATATTACCTAATGTTTTTTAAAGTTACATGAAAAGAAACAAAGAAAACTTTTCATATAACTGAGTACAGAAGACAGTAACAAAATAATTATCATAGATGTTTACATTATGTTTTATTGAAAAATACGGATTTAAACAACATAACAAAAAAGAATTCATGCATAGATATGATTATCTTGTTATCTAAATTTTTTCTAATCCTATTTTAACAAAAAAACCTGTATTTGTATCAATATTAAATCCTAGATTTGCTCCAAAAAGATCGTAAATATGATAATGAAATTTTAATAAACACTATTTTTTTCGTGTTTCTTAATGGAAAATCATTCGTTCGTATATCTCGATATACATACTATATAGGTCTTGATAATATTTAAAAAAGTCTCCGTTGATTTTCTTCTACATGTACTCGAAAGGATAGTAAATTTGATTTTGAAAAAGCAAGATTGATCAATTTGTTTTGATAAAAGCAAACCTTATTGTATAAATATTTGAAAATGGTTCGAATTCAATTGAAAGTCATCTTCTAAAATATTTTCATCAACCGATGAGCGTTTATTATTTGGTAATAACACGTGAATAAAATTTTGTTTTGAACGACTTGTTTCTATTGATCATGATGATAAATAATTTTCATCTAATGGTTTTTCAATTATTGTACGATTACTTTATGTAAGTGTATCTAGTTGATGTTTAAATATGAATAATAGCATATGAAGACCATTAATACAATGTTTTTGATTCTTCAAAAAAACAAAAATATTAATGAATTTGATATCAATAATAAAGGTTTTGTTTTGTTGTTGAATCATCTATTGTTTTCGAGCTTCTTGTTAAATATAAACATTTCATTTTGTTTCATTTCAATCTGAAAAAAAAATAGTTTTTAATTTTATGAAACATTGAAAAACAACAAACTTTATATTATTTTAATATTTGATCACATTGTTGATTAAGACGAAAGATTTTATCAAATTATTCAAACACAATTAAATGAACAATATTCTAAGCATGAGTTATTATAATTGAATGTTGTACATCAATTAAGTAATCAGTAGAATCAACAAGATCTTTTTCATATAGAACAATGATACCTGAACCATACATATTTGGTAATAGAATATCACTGCTTAAACAAGTAAATACAACATGAAAAAGTTTCGTAATTGAATCTATTGGTTGCGTTTGACATTTATGAATAAGTGATGCAAGACACCAAAGATTAAGATAAGATAAATAAGTTTGATTGTATTTTGATTGACGTAAAAGTTGAAGAACAACGAAATTATGATTATGATTAAGCATACATACTGTAAACTAATCGAAATGACCGAGAAATAAGAAGAGAGTCATAAAGTGAAACTTTTATTATCAGTTAAATAATTTACAGGACTTTGGTAAATTCTTTTATGGTCCTCATAACAACAGACATCATATTTTAGTGACATACATAACTATGATTTTTGTTTCTCTTTGGATACTAATGAGTGGATCAATTAATGTTCAAGTTTACAGAGCGGTATTTTGTTGATAAGTTTCGGAAGAAGGGGTGCGTCATGTTCCACGCACCTCCCATAAGTCACACATCGGAAGAAATATCGAATTCTCAAGAAAATAAAAATATTAGGCCTAAAAACAAATATGATGAGTCAATTTATGCTCGTCAGTTGTTCACAGCCAATATATTTCTCAGAGATTTTATTGTCCGTATATCAACACTATCAAGACTCAAAGATAAGAAATTTATGTGTGATACATTTTTCGTACAATCATCCTTCCAATCTGTAATCAATGATATTCCTATGAATTCATAGAAGATTCAAGTTACTTTTAAAGATGATCATTCAAAACTTATTTGATAAAATTTAGTAAACGACTAATTTTCTTCTCGTTTTGTTTACGTTCACCGATTGCAGTGTGTTTCAGGACCCTAATGAGAACGTCGTTTAAGTAAGGACGTTCGCCACATAGCTTCTCAAGACGCTTGCGATGCATGCAAGTATGAAATCACCTCGATTTATACTTATATACCAGAGATCCACGAATGAAAAAATCGTTTTGCTACCGTCTCATCAAGGGTCTAGCATAAAAATAGATGTCTTTTTATGCATTTTTCAAACTCATTTAACAATT